CGGACCCAGAGGTCCGGACAGGGTCGGTTCTACACAAGTACATGAACTGGACCCAGAGGTCCGGACTGGGTCGGTTCTACACAAGTACATGAACTGGACCCAGAGGTACGGACTGGGTCGGTTCTGTATGAGTTCTTGTTCATTCCACTCCTGGTAGAACAGGAAGTGTAACTTCAGAGGTGAAAAACTGCCACAGTTTGATGAAACTGAAACTGAGATGTTAAAGTTAAAACAAGCTAAATAAAAAATAAAGCTAAAATAAGTTAACCCACAGCTAAAAGCTAACTGTAGCATCAGATACAGAACACGTACCCTGGGCCAGGTCTCAAACTGAATGTTTTTGGAGGAATTGAGGAAGTCTGGAGATTTTTCTGTGGGAGTCGTTTTGTAAATAAAGTTAAGTCCAAATGTTTAAAAGTTAGAACCAACAGCTAAACATAAACAGAGCTAAAGGTTTGAATGTCTGAACAGCTAAAGTAGCACAAAGTTCCAACAGATAAGACTTTTTGTGATGTAGCAGCTAAAATTCTTGGACCTGTTGGAGCCGGACTTTAAAACCAAACCAGTCTTCAGGTCTTCCTGGAACCGTTCCACCTGCTCCAGGATCCAACAGTTCTGTCTGAAGTCCTCGCCCCCGCGGCCCCTACCTGGTTCAGGAGTCTCAGAGTGAGACGACGAAGAAGCCGAGGACGTCCCGTCTTCTGTGACGGCTCCCTGGGACAGAGACATCCCTCGGCCCGGAGGCAGCTTCATGCCGAGCTGCTCCGCCATCTCCACGTGGTCCCCGGGGTGGATGTAGTCGAACGCGCTGCTGCCGGTCAGCTCCACCTGACCAAAGAACACAAACGACCCGGTTATTAAACCCGTCTGACACGGTAAACTTATTCTACGTCAATAAAACTAAACTATATATTTATAGTAATTCAAAAATATGAGAAGTTATTGCTTTGATCTTCTCTTTGAACATTTTAGAAACATGATCTGTTGACACCGTCTGCTGCTCGTCTGCAGGTTTATAAAAAGTGTAAATTCAGTTTTAGATATTAATATTAACATGAAGAAATATTTCATGTTTTCAAACCGTCTGAGTCGAAGTGATGAAAGAGACTCAGGAGGAAACTGAAGATATGAAGTTTTGATCAGCATCAAAAGAAGACAAAACACTGCTGTACTAAAAGAAACTGCTTTTAACCTCAAGACTTTCTGATGGGGACAGAGGTGACATCATCAGCTGCAGATTATCAGCTGCATTTAGTTGTTTTTATGAAAAAAGAATAAAGAATATTGTTCTTATTGAATAAATATGGCGTCCATTGACCTTAAACAGATGATTGAGGCCAATTTGTCTTCATTACCTGAGGACGAGGAGCAGCTCCATCAACCTCAGGTGTTGTTTCATAAGCACACACGCACGCACGCACGCACACCAGATAGAAAACTGTGTTTAAAGTTATGCACTTTCATTTCTAGCTTGTTACGAAGCATGTTTATTTCTACAAGGTAATCTGGTTTTGCACGTCTCTCTCTCTCTCTCTCTCTCTCTCTCTCTCTCTCTCTCTCTCTCT